CAGCAACCATTCACTGCCTGTGTCAAACCACAGGCATCATTCTGGCAATAGCTGGGAAGACACACGAAAGACACATTCTGCTCCATGTTGTTACCAGAGGCAGGGACACGGGAACACCCATCAGCACGGCAAAGGGCCATTAAGCAGCGTATCTACATCCGACGCGAATGGACAGGCAGGGCACAAAGGAGAGAAGAGTCTGGGGGAGGGCTCGGCACAGGGAATGCTGGGAAGACTGCACCGTGTCTTCAAAGGCAGGCCGAGCGCAGATGGGGCAGAGTGAGGGATTCCAGGAAGGGCAGCTTGAGCTGAAGGACAAGGTGGGGAACGGCACGAGAAATCACACGGAAAAACGGGAACACACTTGAGTGGGAACGGAATGGGAAGACCCCACTGGCAAGACTCAGTAACCTGAGGCACCAGTCCACTCATCGAAACCGAGGAGCGCCAAAACTAGAAGACTAAGCGGGAGACCTCTGAAACCTCACCGAACTGGCACGGGGAGCTATCTATATGCAGTGACTTGGACTAACCTACCAGGGAAAATACTGGAAGCAAAGAATGTAGATACAGACACCGCTTTCCTCAGGTGAGCGTGGAAAACTAACACAAATGTACTGTGCCCTGGCGAGACCGAAAGCACAGAACGACTTAACTAGCTGTGGATTAGAAAACGGCACTCAAGATTTGGGACAGGAAAACGCAAACGTCGGGACGCAGGGGCGACGCATCCATCCGCTTATGGACTAGTGACCCTCGACGGCTAGATGTTACAAGAAGAAGAAAAACAAGAAAAGGAGACGGTACCTCCTCACCAGGGCTGTGTGCGTCTTCCTCCGGTCCCGAGGGGAAAGGTGACGCTTCACCTAGAGGGTGCAGTCACACAGATATTAATGACAACACTGACCGCTTTGAACTCTACACACACACACACGTGCAGTCTAACTCCTCTGAAGAATTTTTCTGTAAGTTGACGTGGCCCAAAAGAATTTCACAGGGAAGAAGCACTTTCTTTATGAAAACCACGTTCATTTCCTGGCTATGTATTACAGTAGTTCAGAAATGGAAAAGGAACACTAATGGATATGGTATCTGGAGCTACAGACTTCAGATATATTACATTAGCTTTTCAATTTTTGTTTTTAATGGAGATACTAGGGATTCAACTCAGGAACTCCTGTATCCAAATCATGCGATCCATGTAGCACTCAGCTGTACCCTTCCCTTGCCCAGACCAGCTCATAAGCACAGATATGAAAAAAATGAAACTCCATAGATCTTGTAATTTCACAGCCATGTCAGGTGTGTGTGTTCCATCCACGGAGGTCCATTTCTTCTCATCTGTTGGCTCCACTGGAGCACCTTCGTCACCTGCATCTGTCTCCATACCAGTCTCTTCTTTTTGAATTTCTGGCTGTGTCACCCCTTCCTATAAAAACAAAATAGAAAACCCCACCTTCAGAAGCCATCATTCTCATGCAGTTGGCCATTCACTCTCTCAGTCAGTGAGACATAAAACTTTTACTGTATCTATGAAATAACAAGGATTATCCTGGGAGAACCTGGTTATGTAAAAGAAAGACAGATTTTTCTGTCTATTGTACAAGAGCCAGGGATGTGAAAACCAATCAGCATAGAAAACGATCATCCTATAGCTCTACAACTGACGTCAATGGATAGTCAGGGCACAAATTAGAGTAGAGTGTGGTGTATGTCTTGGCTCAGGGAATGCGGTGAGGATGGGGCTGTGCCTTAAAAGAGAGGTCCAGTCCATAGGGTGAAGGCAAGGGGATTCCAGTAGGGGCAGATTGAGCAAAAGGCAAGTTGTCAGAGATTATACCATGTCAAATGGTAAACTAGAACAGACTTAGTCGGAACAGAATGGAAAGATCTCATTTCCAAGATTGAATGGGAGACATCATTTGATCAATCGAAAGTGAGGATTGCAAAAAAACAACGCAGAACATAAAAAAGAGAAGGATCTTCAATATACAGCTAGCTTGCACTTGGAACTATCTATATTAAGTATTTTTTCTTTGTAACAGAAAAGTATGTGAAGCACATAATTTAGACACAGACACTGCTTTCAGTACCTCAGCATGGAAAACTAACACAAGTGTACTATGCACTTGCATGACTGAAATCACAGAATAACTGCATTAACTGTAGATTAGAAAATATGTGAATTGTGATGGGAGAATGTAAATGTCAGAACACAAAGTCAAAGCATCCATCCACTTATGTTTTAATGACCCTTGATGGTTATGTATTAAAAGAAGAAAAATAACAAAAGGAGACAGTACCTCTGTATCAAGAGACTGTGCATCTTTTTCTTCTGCTGAGTAGACAGCTGATGTTTCACCTAGGAAATGTAGTCACACGTATATTAATGACAACACTGACCACTGTCTATAATATACACACACATATAGGTCTATGTCCATTCAACAAGATTTCCATAAAATAATGTTGCACAAAACAATTTCAGAGGGTTAAACCAGTTTGTTGTAGAAAAACCTGGTTGTGGTTCAGATACGTATGAAGACAGCTGGCAAAAGGAAAGTAAACAATAATGGGTGTGGTAAATGGATCTACAATCTTCAGATATTTTGGACTAGCCTTTCTTTTTCCTTTTTCTATGCAGGTACTCTGGATTGAACCCAGGAACTCCTGCATCCAAAGCATGCGATCCATCTACCAATCAGCTATTCACTTCCCTCGCCCTATAGTGGCTTTTAAGCACAGAGAGAAGAAAAATCAAACTCCATCGATTTCACTAATTTACTAGCCATGTCAGTGTTGTCTTTTCCATCCACAAAGGTCAACTTCTCATCTGTTGGCTCCTCTGGAGCACCTTCATCACTTGCATTCATCTCAGTACCGTTTTCTTGTTTCTCTAATTCTGGCTCGGTCATCCCTTCCTATGCTTTAGGTCATGACCAGAGAGCCCTAATACTCAAATCTAATCTTCTTGCTCTTCTGCTCAAAATTCCCCATGGAATCCCTGCAGCACATGTTGCTCATTTCCAACCTGACAGCCGTTCTGTTTCTTCCTCCTTGTTGCACAATTGCAACTTTACTTTGATATCATTTTATCCCAATATACAAAGAAGGTAACTTCCACCCAGCTCCCAAAAGAGAATTGACTATTCTAAGATAATCAGTGGAACTACCTTTCCTTCACCAGAGGCTCATTTAGGAATGAGTATGTGATATAACCCAGCTAGTAAAATGTTTGGGGAAGTCTACTGTAAGCATCCTACTTGTTCTTCGTTATTTGTAGGAAAAGAGGTAGACAAAAGCAGTCCTTCCGGCCTTTGGATATTGCCATGTGAGAATATAATGCTACGAGCGGTTGCTAACCAGCAGACCAGGAAAGGAGACGTCAAACACCGGCAGCCTCACAGCTGAAGAGGGACATCTGGGATGCTGATGGCGTCATGAATCATCTACACAATCCTAATTTTGTTTTAGCCACTGCCCCTCAGGTCTATTATTCTTTACAGCAAGCAGCATTCTGATACATTTCCCGGGGTCTACAGGAGACCTACTCTTCTCTGCAGAACTAGAAGAACTTTCCAGAGCGTGCCTGGGCTGCGCATTCACCTCGCCCCCAACCAGGCCCATGGCATCCTTTTTGGACCAACATCATGAAACTCATGAATCCTCTTGAGTTCCCTGGCGCATTTTTGCCTCTGTACTGCTGTTCCTTTGGCCAAATGTCATCTTGAAAGATGTTCCTCCTACCAAACACTGTCCTTCTGTCTGCTTCCCCAGCAAACTTCTACTCGTTCTGCATGCTTCCCTCAAATCTTGCCCACATTTTTCAAAAGCCATTTCCTCACTATGAACTTAAATAAAGTATTGGGCACATATAAAATACCAACAAAAGATACAGAAAGACATTTATGAATCCTAGGAGCCCTGGGACATAGGGAGCAGAGTCACC